TTACCTTAGCTTCTGTTAAACTGCTTACTTACACCACACATACACACACACACACACACACACACACACACACACACACACTGCCACCTGTAGCTTTAGAGTGAGCTACCAGGATGTGGTTTTTAACCTTTAAAAGCCCCTTGCTCTAAATGCTCAGGGCTACACTTAGTTTCCAAATACCTGAGTGTAGTCCCAGCCAGCAGGAATAAAGACTTTCAATTGGCTATAAACTGTGTCTGAGTGATCATTTCTTGTGGGCTCCCAGGATCGCTTTGACCTATAGAGAAAGAAAAAGATACCAGAGTGAGAAAGTCAGCCTTGTCCAGCTCTGTAGGTTTAACAAAACTGGCCAACAATTCTAGGTGTTTCATTGAAGCATAACAAATGTACAGAAAAGGCCAAAGATAGCAAGGTGACAGTCTCCTAACTGTCACAGAGAGCATAAACCAAGATGCAGACCAAGTCTTGAGTAGCATGTGGACAAGCTGTGGGTTCACAAACATGAGTCTGTGTGCGCAATGACCACGGAGGTCAGCCCAGTGATACAAGCTGATTAAACAGGAAGTCCTGGAGGAAAGGTGGGTGAAGTCCATCATCTATGTACACAAACTGAGTCATACGCACTGACATTCAGCTGAATCTTAGATCTGTAAGTGGAGAAGCTGGGATTTAGTCCCACACAGTTAGGCTCCGGCTTCTAGGCCTCCCAAAGAAGAAAAACCACAGCTGGAGCCACCAGCAGAAGGTAGGGTCCAAGTGTCTAAGTGTCTAAAGAAGATGTGTAGGAGACAGAAGGAAGCTCACGTTTTCCAAAAGAAACAGGAAAACTAGGTTCAGCAGTGTTTACTTTGGGCAGACTTGAGGCAAAATTAAGAGCACGAAGTTTGCTGCCTTTGGGCGTTTGCATTCCATGGGACTGAGTTGTAACCTTGAGGCTGGTTTGTCCATGATGTTGATGAGTTCAGTTAGAAAGAAGGTGAATGAGGCTTATTTGTATTTGATTTGTATTTCCTCATTTGTAGTAAAGCGTGGCTCTACTTAACATCCATATACAAACAACAACAACAACTACAACAAAACAAACAAACAAACAAAAAACTCCACCAGTTTTCAAAGTTGCTTTTCTCTTGAGGTAGCTGTTCTGGTAGTCTGGTAAGCAGATGCCTCTGGAGCTGGGCAAAGGGGTGAATATTAGGGAGCAAGGGTAATAACAGCAGAAAGTAGCTCCCCCAAACAAACTCAGGTAAGGAAGATTGAGCAGGGGAAGTTCTCATGGACATCATTTCATCAAGGAGGGATATCTGAGAATCTTGTTTTCTTAGTTAGCACAGTGGCAGTGCCATGCTCTGCTAACAGACGGAACCTGAGACATGTGGATGTCTTCTCGTGGGCTATTCATCCTGTTTGGGTGCCATGAATCTTCACTGGACAGAGGTTTCATAGCTGCCCATCTTTTTTCCCTACTGCATTGGGAAATGCCTGGTAGATGGAAGATGTTAAAGAAATGTCTGCTAAATGCTTAAAAACATGGGCCTGTGTTTTCTAGGTCAAAAGCACTTTAAATATTCCATGGCTGCATGCATGATTTAACTCAGGAACACTGACCTCCATGTGGATGGTGATAACTTCTAAGCATTCTCAATGGTCATATATATATTTATTTATTGGCAGATGATGCCATGTGTTTTTATTATGTAGTATCACACTCCATAGTGTTTTTCATTCATCCTTTTGTCATAGGCAGGACCAAACTGGTAGTGATGCAACCAGATGTCATACAGAACCTGGATCCTGATTTTCATGTTTCAGCAACTTCCGAAGTTTGTATTTCTGAACAAGTCTTTCATTTCTTTCTGGAAGCCTTACTAAGTGCTGAGATTACTCAGTTCGAGGAATACTGAAATCATTCAAATAGAATCTGCAGGTGCAACACTAATAAATTACAGCACAAATTGAATTGTGTCTATAACACACAATGCCTCTGGTGACAAGAAATATAAAAGACACAGTGGTTAAAGCAATAGATGTGTTTAATTGGCTCACAAACCATACAAAGTCCAGAAGCAGATTTTCCCATATTGCTTTGCAATTCAAGTCCTCTCACCAAGCCGCCACCCTACTCATGTCTCTACTATTTCACCCTTGGCCCTTTGGCTTGTCTGGTCACGTGGTGCTGTAGCTCCAAGAACCATGCTCTCAAGCGGCACCATATATACCAGGGAGAAGGAACTTACCAAATTGCTTTTGCTAACAGAAGCAAAGACCTCTAAGAAGAATCTACCCTCCGACTGCTCCTGTGGCCTTATTGGTCAGAATTGGGATCACCTGCCTTTTCCCAAATCAGTCTCCAAAGAGGGAAATGGGCTTCCATATTTGGCATAAGGCATTTTGTCCCATTCTCTCAGGCCAGAAGAAGTGCATTGTTCTGGGGATTCTACAACCTGGAGAGAAAGGCAGAAAGGGGAGGTATCAGTCAGCAGTGTTTGCTACAGGACTAAGCCTAGGGTTATGTCCATATTCCTCTGCCATGGTTCCATATTCCTTCTTCCCCCCAGAGTAAGGCCACCTTCCTAAGGCTGCTAGAAAACCCCATCCTTTCCCTGATAGTGTCCTGGCCTTGACCACCTCAGAGCAGGGAGGAAAACACAGTTCACAGTAGCTCTGGCCCATCCTTAAGCTGTAATACCCTAAACTTCATGATTGCAAACAGAGTTTCATCGCAGTATGTGGAGAGTCATGAGCGTTAGGAGTGCTGGGGAGGAAGGGGGATGAATCCATAGATGAGAATGATAATCTTCCAGGGAAAGCTCACAGGAGCATTCGGAATGCAGAGGGCCTGCCCTGAGTGGAAAAGAGGCCACCTGCTACAGGCTGAAGAACTAGTACAGCACTGGGTTGTATTTTCAGTGTGCACGGGAGTGAAAACTAAAGGTCTGGTCTGACTCAGAGGAACATGTGACTTTGGCCAAAATACCCATAGGCAAAGATTAGACAGTGTACAATCAATCAACAGATGGCTGTCTATGTACAATGCTACTATATGTAAAATTGTTCTGTAATCTTATATACTAAGTCTGAGTGATATGACATATATAGCATAACAATACAACATGACAATAACTAAAATGGATTGTGTATTGATTTGAATAAGCAGTGTTCAAGGTACTCTCCTTGAGTAATTACTCAAAATTATATGCACAGGCAAGCTCACTATAATCCAGAGGCGAAGTACTTGATGCACAGTCTCTCTGATAGATGGTGGACCCAGGAACCAAACCACAGGCTTGTCTGTCTCTAGGGCCCTCCCTTCCTGTTTCCCTCTGTTCTTTTGCTCCCATTGGCCTCTTTGCTACCAGTGTGTTAACGAGCTTAGATATGGCAAGGCCAGATAGTGAGCTGATAAGACAGACCGGATACCAGAGAAGGTAGAAGGAAATTCATCAGAAACTCAACTCTGGCCAGAGAAATGAAAATAATAAAACCTTAAATTATTTGAAATGTTAAGAGAACAAAATAATTTAGTGTCTTTGTTTTACAAGACTTCCTGAAAAGAATAAAGAAGATGAAATTTTGTGGCATGCCTTCTTTCTCTGTCTGTAATTCATGCAAATTTATGCAGGTGTTATCAAGGTTTCTCAGCAGCCATTCTCTAGTCTAGAAAGAACGTTCATTTACTTGTTACATCAGATACTCGCGATTCTTTCATTCAGTTCGTTTACCTCATTTGTTTGTGGAGTTTTTTTCCCCACCTTGAGTACCAAAGATGCCAATGGAGGCTGGAGAAGAAACACTGAATCCTGCCTTAAATGAGCTGGAACTCGGCGTGCTCAGAAGATGCCTTCCCTTCAGATCTATTTTCAGCTTTCCATCATCTGCCAAAAGGCTCTTTACTCGGGACAGATCTCCATGGCCCTATAGCAAGGCACTGCCATATTGCAGGGAGTTGGCTGAGGAATGAAGGCCCAGAAAATGGATACTGAAGAGCACAGAGGATGTTCATTCTGTCCCATGTCTTTCTATTAGGAAAAATTCTAGTTCAGAAGCCCTGGGAAATTTTTGAGACACTAAATCTTATAGGATTGGAAAATATCAAAATATCCAAGAACTGATCAACCAAGCTTGGTTCTGCTGACATTTCCCTAGTAGCTTGAAAAGACATTCACTGGCCAGAAAAATTGAAATAATAATACTTAATTTCTTAAATGTTTGGAGAACAAAATAATTTACAGTGGCATTTGTAGATGTAACCAACCATCTTATTAAATAAGAAACACAGAACCAATGCAAAGAAGAAAGCCAAGAGATCAGAGCTAAAAGCCTTACCTGCCTACTGCAGCTAGCCTCTTAAGTCAAGAGACCTCTCCAAAAAGAGAGCTACTTCCTGTCTGTTTGTCTTTATATAGACTTTCTGTTCTGCCTTCTCATTGGTTGTAAAACCAATCACATGACTGCCTCGTCACTGTCTGTTGTACAGCCCTCCAGGTCTTCTATGGTATTGAGATTAAAGGCGTGTGTCTCCAATGCTGGCTGTATCCTTGAACACACAGAGATCTACCTAGCTCTGCCTACTAAGTGCTGGGATTAAAGGCGTGCACCACCAACGCCCAGCTTTTGCTATGGCTCTAATAGCTCTGACCCCTGCCCTGGGCAACTTTATTTATTAACATACAATTAAAATCACATTTCAGTACAAATAAAATACCACCATAGGCATTGTCCTACAGAGTTCTGAGCTGGAGGATGGAAAGTGTTGTGAAATTTGGTCTTCTGGACAGGATATGGCCATAGCACTCATGAAGTCACAGCAGCTATGGTTACCTGCCCAAGATCAACTCTGTCAAAGTCCCAGCATGGAGGGGGCATGGCTTTGTGTGGGCTCCCAGGCCAGATGAGGGATGGTAGAGCATTGTCCATACCCTGGACATTTCTCAGAGAGCACAGCACGAGTGGGGCCGCTCCCTACCCAAATCAGGCCTGGCCCACTCAATTCCACACCGACAAAGGCCACATCATGTTAGAGTCAGTTCTGTTTCCCAGACAGAGAACTGGCTCCTCAGAGATCATGTGACCAGCAGTCTACTAACATAACTAATAAGCTTGAAAAGTCCCTGCCTAGGCTGCGGTACTTCCTCCCTGTACTTCTTCCTGCATGCTTTGGTATTTGAATTAGTGCGTCACTAACATTTGCCTGTCTTCAATCGGGTCCACACAGGCAAATCAGGTGCACTTCGTCCCTCATTTGTTTGTCAACCCCCCCACGCCCCACCCCCGGCTCAAGCTAAGTAAGCTGGCCCCGTTGCTTCAATAAATGAGCTGTGCTCTGAAACAGCTTCCTGGGTTGTCTCGGCCTGTCATACTCTGCCACCCTGCTCCCCAGGTCCTCTGCATCCCGAGACCACTGGAATGCCGTGGCCAACTGGGGACTGGGGGCAGGGGCCACAGCTTTGGAGTGCCCACCCCTAGCTGGGGAACTATTGGTAATCTATGGCTGCCAGCAGAGGGGGAGTCATTTATCTTTAGTGGTGTAGCCATGGGTAGGTTGCCCGTGCTCCAGCGGATGGCCCTACACCCAATGTGAGTACGGGCAGCACCCATAGAACTCAGTGGGTTACACGAAAAAGTAGAAGAGGGCATGAAGTTGGGAGGTCTCTTGGGAGAGTTGGGGGTATAGGGAATGGATATGATAAATGTACACTGCATGCATGTAAAAATAAAAGGTGAAGAAAAGGCTGCGGATGTGGCTCAGTGGTAGAGTGTTGGCCTAGCTTGTGTGAGGCCCTGGATCCAATCCCCAAGACTTAAAACAGAAATTACCTATAAAAAAGATTCCTCTTTCACTTACAGGGGGGCATTAGGTTGTACGAAGTGTAGATGCTGGGGGCAGTTTCACTCTTAGGACCCCCATGAAGAGATATGTACCTGGTGCAGTGGTAGATTACTTCATAACCACTCTCCTGGTTCTTCTGGCTTTTGCCTTGACTCACAGATCCTAATTCCTTCCTCGAACTTTCCTCTGTGTATTGAAGAGCCAAGGATGAGCAGCAGAAACAGTTCTAGAATTGTCCACCTTTCTCTCTGCCTTCTCTTGAAGTTCTTATTACACAAGCCCCCGAGAGTCAACAGGCCCCTAGAATCATCCCATCCTTAGGAAGGCCTGAACATTAATATGGCTTCCCTAGAAAACAACCCCGTGTCAACGGCCAACAGGAGCAGTAGCTTTCCATGTCAAAAGCTTCTGGGCTCTGGAAAGTGTATCCAATTATAATTATGTCTCAGATAGAAAGATGGCCGAATGGGACCCAGGAAACATGGCCACTTCTACTAAAGCCTAGACATGGAGTCCTATTTATTTCTATGCCCAATGTCCACCCTTGCAAAGCAAATCATTGAGACGGGTCCTTGGTTCTTAATCAACCTAGGGCAGTTTACAATGAGCTCTGGAGCTCCCTAATGTCCACTCAAGGGTTATATTCATTTTTCATGACAATCACCCACTGGACATAAAACCTCCGGGACCTGTGAACCTTGGGAGTGCAAAGCATTGATGGCATTCCCAGTCTAGTCCTGTAGAAGGAGCCACTCTGAGAAAAGGCACATTCACCTCTGTGGGACCTGATCCGAGGGTAGGGAGCCCCGAGTGAATGTGCTGAAGCGTGAACAGAATGCCCTAGGTTAAAAACCCCTGCAAGTTATGAATGGACAGAGGACAGGCTGTCCCAGGGTGGGTCTTTAGCCTCCAAAGTCCTGTTTGATCTTCAACAGCTGGAAGCCCCATGGGACCTGGAAACACTAACACCCAACAGTGTAGTGGAGGGAACCAGCTGTGTTGGAGTCAGCATATCCGCTTTGAGCTTCAGCTCTGCCTTGGCTGGCTACGTGACCAGAAGCAGGTCACCCAACCCTGGGTTTTCTTGTCTGTCCAGTGGAAAGCACTCTTTCCCTTCATAACCTCACGGGGCTGGTCATTCTTGACTGCCTTTCCTGCACACGGTGTACAAAGCCCCTGGTGATGCCTTAGTCGGCCTCTGACAGCAAGATGAAAGCAAGGAAATAATCAAATGAATATTACTTTTGTAGAGAATATAACGCTAATCACCATTGCTCCCAGCTGCTGGGATCTTACTGTACAGCGGGCATTCAGCTAGAACTCGGGGGCATTATTTATTGCTCAAGGTCACATGGCTGGTAAATCCTATGATGGAACTCAACCCAGACGTTTATGATTCCACAGGCAGAGTCTTAACCCTGTGTGCACTTTATTCCTTGTGACTAAATACACCTTTTCAAGTCCTAGCTGGCAGAGAGCAAATGAGATGTACTGGTGTGTCTCCCAGGAGATTAATAGCCAACCAAGCAACCAACTAACCATGCTCAGAGTACCCAAGCACGAGACTTTGTGGTTTTGTGGTTATTGTTGTTTCACTTTGTTTTGAGCAGGGTCTTCCTTCCATTTAGCCTAACTGATCTCAGACTAGCAATCTTCTGGTGTTCATTCTCCAGAGTGCTGGAATCACAGGCATGCATCTGGAAAATCTGATGCTGAACAGCTGTTACGGAGTTGAGTTAAATAAATGTACAGGGGGAAAAATGTGATTGTGTTTTCACCGGTGTTGTGTGCTATTTTGTTTGTGTTCTGACAAATAAAGCTTGCTTGGAGTCAGAGGGTGGAGCTGACCACTAGTTAACCATAGAGGTTTGGAGGACTGTAGAGAGGGGGACAGGAAGTGGTAAGGCGGGCCTGAGACACAGGATCTCGGCCCTTTTGGACAGAGGAACAGAAGAGGTAGGAGGCGACTGGAGGCTGCTTCCCTGCTTCTCTGATCTTTAGGTTTTTACCCTGATATCTGGTTGCTGGTTTTTATTGATAAGATTAATTGGATTTATGCTTCACACCAGTAGTTACCAACGATGCTTCTTGTTTTATACATGGCTTTTTCTTTGTTAGACAAAAATGGATGAGAGGACTCTCTAGGGGGTTGGAGCTCATAGATCAGAGGCCTTGAAGCCAGGAGCATTGCTCAGTCCAGAACCCACAGCTTAGAGCCAGTGCAGCCCATGAGGAGACTCACAGGAAGCTGAAGGCCTAAGGATGGAAGTGGATAGGGGATGCAGGGCATCCTAGAATCCAGTGCCTGAGATGGACCTCTGATGTTCAGGGGCAGGAGGAGAGGAGTGTTTCAGGAGAGAAGAGGTAGGGAGGAAGAGGGAGAAAAAGGAGGGGAGGAGGGGAGGAGGGGACAGGAGACCCATTGATCTGGTGCAAGGTCTCAGGGGTATTCTCACTCACATGTGAATCTTCTTTGAAAACAAACTCACCCGAGCATCCATCCACAGTCTCTTTACCAAGGCTTCTGCTATTGCCTAATCTAGTCAAGCTCATACCTAAAATTAACTACTGCAGAGGAGAATGATTAACAGAGGGAAATTGGCCTCAGGATTAGGTGGGGCAGGCAGGGTAACTAGAAATTACCCTCTGGACAGGACAATGGTGACCCCCTAACCCTTCTTGTTTATTTAACTGGTATTTATTTAGCTGGTAATAGATGCTTCCCCATCACAGGCCCTCACAGCCTACCTGAGTCAGCTGCCCTGTTCTCCACTCCCATGTCTCTTCCTAAGCGTGCAGGGTTTGTTCAACAGAAAAGAATTCCACAGTTGGCAGACATGGCCCAGATGTGGTGGAGTCAGTGTTCTGGAGGCCCACCCAGACAGGGCAGATGTGGTCTGGACCAGCCTGGGTGGTCTGTACTCCTGCAGCACAGTATCAACGCATACCTTACGTCTTCTCAGATGTCCCCAGCAGAATCAAGTCCCAACTGCTCTGCTCAGTCATCCTGCTTAACTGCACACTTTTCTGACTTCTTCCTGCCTCAGTTTCTCCATCTCCCGTTTGTGATCCTGGAGGGCTACTCAAGGAAACTGTCCAAGCCTTTCCCTGGAGTCTGCCCTGGGGAAATACATACTAAGACAAAGCTGTTCCCCAGAGCCCTTCTTAACGGTGTTTCAAGTCCCTTCTGACACTGAAGTCCAGTGGTCACTCAGAGCGGCCAGCTCTGAGCCAGTCCCAATGTCACCTGAGGCAGAGATATTGATGACAAGCTTTATGTCATTCTTCTAATGCCCTAAGGCTAAAATTATCTGTTCTTCCATGAGCCACTTTTCCATGAAGCCCAGAGAAATCAGGAACTGTGAGCTTGCTTCTCTGACACTTTAATAACTCAAATCAGGATTGAACATATTTTATACAAATAAATATGTTCCAGCTATCTTCTGAGAGTCACTTGATATGTCTATCATATCAAGACATAATTTATATCACACACACACATTTATATGTGATGTGATGTGTGTGTGTGTGTGTGTGTGTGTGTGTGTGTGTGTGTGTGTAATACACCTAAAGTGTAAGAAGTCAATACTGTTGTTTTGGCATGTTAAAAGAGAGGCACAATCATTATAATTAATTTTAGATTATTTTCCTGACCTCTACGAACAAACAAACAAATCTATGTTTAGGTAAGTCCCACATCCCTCCAAGTCTTTCAGCGCTGAGAAACTACTCAATGTCTATTTCTGCAGGTTTACCTAATTTGGAAATGTTATATAAATGTACTAATACAAGTGTCTTTTTGCCCCTCTACATTCACTGACAAAATGTATGTAAGATTTATCTATGTTGCAGCACGTATTATACTCCATTCTTGTTTATGGTTGAATAATATTCTATTAATCAGATATACCATGTTTTATTCATTCATCTATCAACTGATGGATATTTGGGCTCTTTACATTTTGGCTAGTATGAATAATGTTACTATGGACATTTATGTATAAGGTTCTAATCCAACACTTTAAAATGAATGTTTAATAACAACCATCCTAGTTGGTATGAAGCTGTACTGTATGGTTCTGACTTGTGCTTCCCTGACAACTAATGATATTTGGTATCTTGTATCTTTTGTTCAGAACATGTACATTGAAAGCCTTTGTCCACTATTAATTGGATTACTTTTTATTATTGAGTTATTCAGTATCTTAGTTACTTTTCTATTGCTGTGATAAAGCACTATGACCAAGGTAACTTATAGAAGGAAGGTTTGAATTGTTGCTTACAGTTGCAGAGAGATAGTGTCCATCACCATCGCTGTAGGGAGTTCGTCATCAGTTGGGCAGGCATGGTGCTGGAGCAGCAGCTGAAAACTCACATCCTGATCCACAAACAGGAAGCAGCCATACAGGCTTTTGAAGCCTGAAAGCCCACGCCTGGTGATACTCCTCCTCCAACAAGGCCACACCTCTCGATGCTTCCCAAAAAGTTCCACCTATAAGAACCAAGAATTCAAACATATGAACCTATGGGGGCCATTCTCATTCACATTTTTTTTTTAAATCCCCTATCTAATGGAAGTTAAATAAATTTTATAAGAAACAAACTTCATAATAAATTCATATGATTTGCAAAGAGACTTGATATTCTGTGGGTTACCCTTCTTTTTCACTTTTTCAGTGGAGCCTGGGATCAAACCCAGGGCCTGGAACTAGGCAAACTCCCTCTATCGAGCCACAGGTAAGCTGTAAATTATTGTTTTTCTGTTTGTCTGAGAACTTTAAATATGCATGTAATGTGTTTTGATTGAGCTCATGCTTGGCATGATTAACAGGACCAAGAACCTGTGGCTGGGTATGTCATAGGTCTTAGAGGACAGCTACTGCTATTAGTCCACTAAATATGAATTATCCCTTAACTTTCTCAGTGATGTTTTCTAAATAACAAGGTTTTAGATTCTATTGAAATCCAATTTACACATTTTTTCTTTCTTTCTTTTTTTTAACTTGAGCTTTTAATGTAATATCTATGAAGCCATTGCCTAATTCCAGGTTGTGAATATTTATATGTGTAATTTCTTTGTTTTGTTTCAAATTTTAGCTCTTGCATTTAATTTGTTGATCTATTTGTAGAATTAATTTTGTGTGTATATGAGGCAGGTTCCAATTTCATTTTCTCCATGTTGTTATATAATTATAGTGTTGCTATTTGTTGACAAAAATATTTCCTTCATTAAATTGTCTTATCATTCTAGTTGGAAATTGGTTGAATATAAATGTAGGCTAAAATCTTGATCCTAAGTTTAATTTGTCCAATTTCACTTCTGGTTACTGCTTTGTGTTAAGAGTTCTGTGGGGTTTTTTTTTATTTTGTTTTAATTAAGACTAGGCATTATTCTGTAGCATAGACTGGATTGGACCTTACTATGTAGCCCAGGCTGGCCTCAAACTTGTAGCAATTTTCCTGCCTCTGCTTCTTAATTGCTGGAAACACAGACATGCACAACCACACCTGCCTTGTAGTAAAATTTAAAACTAGTAAGTAAGTAAGAAGTAAAAGTTCTTTGATTTTTTTTAAGATGATATTTTGGCTCTTCTGGGTCCCTTACATTTCCTTTGAATTGCAGAATCAAGTTTTCAATTTCTATAAAAAAAGTAAATAAAGCCAGTCTAAATTTAATAATGGTTGTGCTGAGTCTGTAGGTCAGTTTGAGGGGCATTGCCATCTGTTGCAGTTTCTTCTCCTGTTTCTGTGATAGAATGCCCTAACAAAAGCGGAGGTAAGGGTTTATGATGCCACACAATTCAGCAGTCAAGTCCAGCAGGGCAGGGAAGTCAGGCAGCGGGAGCTTGCAGCAGCTGCTCACATCACATTCCTAACCAGAAAGCAGGCAGAAGTGGGCAGGAGGGAGAGGGAGTTGCGGGTGGGTGTGCATGCTCCTGTCGTCATATATAAAGTTCAGGGTCCAATCCTGGAGAAGGTTCCAGACACGCTGGATGGGTCCCCAAAGGCCCACGTATCAAAGGATGTGCAGACATCCATCTCCCAGGTGACTCCAGAGTCTAACTGTCACATCATCTTCAAATATTAATTCTTCCCAAGTGTAGCCACAGGTGCCTTCAATTTAATTGGGTCTTCTAACGTCTTTCAGTAATGTTTTATACTTTCCAGAGTACAAGTTTCAAAGTTCTTTTTTGAAAGTTATTCCTATGTTATTCTCTTTGATGTTACTGTAAATAGAGTTTCAGAATTTCATTTTCTGAATCATTTGTTGCCCTTATGTTGAAATACTGTTTTGGGTTTTGTTGTTGTTGTTGTTTTTTTCTTGTCATCATGAGATTCTGACAACTTGCTGAACCTACTTGATAGTTCTATTTGTTTCTAGAGGCTGTTTTCTTTATACATGGTGAGGTGTGTATTGTACATATCATTTCTTCCTTTATTATCTGCTGTTTTCTGCTTTGGTTTCTTGTTTAAAGGCCCTCACTTATGGTGATATTTTATTTGTACTGAAATGTGATTTTATTTGTATGTTAATAAATAAAGTTGCCTGGGGATCAGAGCTAATAGCAAGCCATAGCAGAAGTCTGGCAGTGGTAGCACACGCCCTTAATCCTGATCACATGACAGGCAGATCTCTGTGTGTTCAAGGATACCACCAGCATAGAGACACACACCTTTAATCTCAATACCAACCATAGAAGATCTGGAGGTCTGTATAGATGGGCAGTGACGAGGAGGTCATGTGGTTGGGTTTATAACCAATGAGAAGGCTGAACAGAAAGTCTATAAGAAGACAAACACACAGGAAGTAGCTCTCTTGCTGAGGAGGACAGCAGCAGCAGTGAAGGGTAAGGTTTTTAGCTCCTAGCTATTGCTCTGACCTCTTGGGCTTTCATCTCTACATTGTCTCTGTGTTTCTTATTTAACAAGATGGTTAACAAGATGAACTTCTAAGTGTCATACTTTCGAGAATTGATGATCTTTTAATCCTAACCCTGCTTGGGAGGAAGCATTGAGTTTTTCCTCTTTAAAGAGTACATCAGGTTTAGGATTGCACAGGTGACCCCTTCTGAATGAGGTTGCTCCCTCAGTTCTAGGAAACTGAACATTTGTTGTTTTTTCTTTCTAGTCATGAGGAGGGTCTTGGCAGGGGCTATTCCAACAGCTGCTGAAATTATCTGTGTTAAACGTTTCTTTTCAACTGTGTGTATTTTATTAACTGATGTTCTCACACCAAATCAATCATGTATTCCTGAGATAAATCCCACTTGACTATGGTATCTAATCTTTTTTAAATCTTAGCCATGAATATAATCTTTACCATAGGTTACTTGATTTGGCTGGTTAAGGTTTGTTGAGTATTATATATATATATATTTCTTAAGGATGCTGCTTTATAGTTTTCTAATTGTCTTTTCTTGAAGTGCTTTGGTCTGATTTGGTAGCAGCCTTAGGCTGATAGTCAAGATGAAGTCAGCATCCACTCATCTTTTGTTTTGTGGAGCCCTTGAGAACTATCACTATGAATTTATTAATTATTTGGTAAAATTCACCAGTAAAGCCATCTGGTCCCTGGCTTTTCTATATGCGCAATTTCCTTGACTACTGAAGCTATAATTACTATTACTTAATATTTTTACTTGTTTACAGGTCTACATTGATTTTTCTACTGCCTTCCATGTTAGTTGGTTTTTTGTCAACTTGACACAAGCTGCATCATCTAGGAAGAGGAAATGTCAATTCAGAAAATGCCTCTAAAAGGTTGGCCTATAGGCAAGTCTGTGGGGGCATTTTCTTGATTAATGATTGATATGGGAGTGTCCAGCTCACTGCGGGCTTTGCTATAGATGGATTTTTCTTTGGGCCACCAGCTCACAAAAAAAAACATGGAGACATTATTAATTATAAAAGCTGAGGCTTATTCCTAACTAGTTCTTATAACTTAAATTAACCCATATATTTTAATCTACATTATTTTACATAGCTCAGTTACCTTTACTCTGTACTGCCATCTGGCTGATGACTCTGCCTTCTTCTTCCCAGCATTCTCTGTCTGCCCAGAAGTCCTGTCTAGACCTCCTGCCTAGCTATTGGCCATTCATCTTTTTATTACACCATTCACAGCAGTGTGTCTTCACAGTGTACAAATATCCCACAGCACTTTGCCACCCCTGGGCAGGTGGTCCTGGGCTGTATAAAGCAGGCTGAGTAAAGCCATGAAGAACAAGCTAGTAAGTAACACTTCTCCATGGTCTCTGCTTTAGTTCCTGCCTCCAGATCCTGGATTTCCTTACTGATGGGCTGTGATGCAGATGTGTAAGTCAAACAAACCCTTTCCTCCCCAAGATGCTTTTGGTTGTGGTTCTATCAAAGGAATAGAAAGCAAGCTAGACCACTTCCTGAGTCCCTTTTGGTTTGCATCTTTCTAGGTCTTTATTTATCTTATCCATATTACTAAGTTGTTGCCATACAATTGCTCATAATTGTTTATAGTGTCCCCCTGATATTCTTCTCATCTCTATGTGACTGTTAGTTGTATCCCTGCTTTTATTTCTGGTTTTAATAATCTGATTACTCTCTGAGTGTCTCAGTTTTATTAAAGGTTTGGTTGACTTTTTCAAGTAATTTGTTGGTTTGCTAATTTCCTGTATTGTTTGTCTGCTCTCCACTCCATTAATTCCTATTTCAGGTTTTGTTATTTTTTCTATCTATTTATTGTTTTTTTGCTGTTCTCTGCTTCCAAAGTCTTATAGCAAAAGGCTAAGTCATTGATTTGAGAATATTTCTTTTTTATTTTAGATAATAAATTTAGTTTTTCCTCTCTGCACCACTGAAGCTGACTCTCTTAAGTTGTGCTGTATTATATGTAAATTTTTATCTCAAAGTGATTTTGTTGATTATTGTTTGACAATATTGGGTATTTAGAAGTATGCCCTATAATATATGTTTAAGTCACTTAAATGCATTTGTTATTAAGTTCGTGTCTCATATCATTGTGGATGGAGTCTATTTGCATGCCTTTCTAATTTATTGATTCTTTTTCTCTTCCCTAGCATATGGTCTAGTTGGAGAATGTCCCACATGTCCTTGCTTCCCCATTTGTCAGATCAGTGTCCGTAGACACCTGTTGGATATAATTTGCTTCAGCTCTTCTGCGTGTGCACAGTCTGCCTTGATGCTCCTTATGGGATTGAAACTGGAGCACTAAAGTCTTCACCCATCATTGGTAAGTCTCTGTCTTCAATTTTAAAATTTTCTTTCATGTTTTCATTTCTGTTTTGGTTCATGGGAGTATGCTCTATATTCAGAAATTTAAATATCTATAGCTCCCTGGTGGAATTCCCCCTTTACCATAACATTTTTCTCTACATCTTTAGCAAGATTTTTGTGTAGAAGTCTGTTTTGCCTGCTATAAATGCTCCAGCTTTCTTAAGAAAGGCAGTTTCCCATCCTTTTACTTTCAATCTGTTTATGTCTTTGGATGTAAAATGT